CAGAATGAGGAACATCCACCAAGATGACATAAAATCATATACAAAAGATGTAAGAAGTATCCATGACAGGTAAAAGGGATACCCAGAAATAAGCACACCCAGAGAAGCAAACTGGTCTTCTACTGACAAGCCATGAAGCCAATGCTGCCAAGGACTTGAGCTCAGAACAGAGGCCATTCCTCTCAAAAGACACATGCACTCCCCTTGATCTGATGCTGGCAGCTAAATGCACACCAGAGAGGCCCTGGAGCTGTTAGGACATGGCTCATTTAACCAAGATCTTGTGATTATTTCTTGAGCAACTTTTCTTCCAGCAAAGTCCAGTCCACCAGCACCTTGAGCAGACTCATGCCCAGAGATGGGTGTGAGAGCAGGGCGAATGTATGAACCCGTGGTGTCATTACATTCCTCCAATGCCTAGCCAGATGCAAGCACTTTTGGCAGTCCCAGGAAAGAACATGCTCCCTTGAGAGCAGCCACCAAAAAGCCTTGTGGGCCTTTTCACCCCTCCATGCTCCCGAAGGTTAATGAGTTCACAAGCTCTGACAGCAGGAGAGTAGATAGTCTTTGAAAGAGAGCCCAGAATGAGGAACATCCACCAAGATGACAAAAAAATCAAAAGATCTAAGAAGTATCCACAAAGCCAGTGCTGCCAAGAATCTGAGGTCCGAACTGAGGCCATTCAAAAGGCACATGCACTCCCCTTGACCTGATGCTGGCAGGTTATTTTACACCAGAACCACTTTCCAGGCAGGCATTAGTACATCATATGGAGCAAAGCCCTGCTTTACTCCTATCACATTACCAATCCACAACATTTCCTCACAACACAGCATATCAGACATTAAGTTCTACACATTTGTGATAAATATTTCTGAATGGAAAGATGTTTCTGCTTTGAAAAATTACAGGATTCTACAGCCTTGTCTTCCACTATGCATTCAAATAGGTATTGGTATGCAAATAGACATAAATTTTTCTATCATATATGGATGAAAATAATCAGTCAAATTACTGTTCATGTACGTAGCTCATTAATCAATAAGGAGTCCTAGAGGTGGCACACCTAGAGGTGAATCATAATTTACTAATAACAAAGAGTAAAACCTGTTTGGGTGAGGAGAGAAAGTCAGTGGTAAAGTGCTGATGTTGTATTAATCTGGCCCATTAACTTGATGGAGCACACCACCAGTGATGACCAAATCCAGAGAAAGAATTAATTCTGTATCATCTGAAGAACAAGAAGCTGTGCAAATTGCTCATTTCAATCCATAGCACAGAATTCTTTAGATTAAGCTATATATATTTTAAAAAAACTTTACAAATTAATTGTAGTACAGTGGAGAGCCACCAATTTTGTTTCTCACTTTAACACACTACAGAATTACATAGATAGATAGACAGATAGATTTTCAGGCATCTATCTGAAGATATATGACAAATACTTGTCTTTTCTTCTTAATTTTCTACTTCCCTGTCTGTGGGATTTTTCTCTGGGAAATTAAATTCAGGCCAGGATATTCCACTGAGCCTGCACTGCCATACAAACTAAGTAACAGATATTGGGACATGGCTTTATTCCTTCTATTTTGGACTGCTTTCCATGTCACCTTCTGTGCTACTGAACATTTGCTGACTTCTCAGAGAGATGCATAGGTTATACTTTATGTCTTTCTAAAAGGAGTGCTAGGTTACTGATTCATCTATAATGCAGTAAAATTAAACTAAATGAGTTAAACACTTCTGTGTTAAAGTGATGTTGCTGGGTAACAGCCAAAGCTACCAGAAAAGCCCAGGAGCATTACTTTCATTATCTTTTTTTTTTTTTTGTTTCCAGAGAACCAGTTTATCAATCCTAACCCTGTAAACAAACATGCCAATGTTATCACTTTTATGATACACATTTATCAGTATTGACACATTTTATCACTTTGCTCTATAGTTTCTTTGATCTTTTCAGATCTTAAATATCTCCACTTTTTCCTCTGTAAAACAGTCTTGTCCATGAGAGAGAAATTTTAGCAAGAGGAAGGGACATACGTATTTAGGACCAATACATTTGATAATCAAGTATTAAAATTAAAACAGAAAATTTTCCTGTACAGAAACAATGCACAGGTTTTTGCAGTGGGTACAAGAACACCAGCACAAGGAAACATTAAATCACATGTGCACACAAAAGCAAACTTATAGGAAGGAAAAATCACCACCAGAGTCACCAAACTGCCCACTACTACCAGGTGGGATTTTCTGAAATCTCCACCCCTTACAGGCAATATTTTGTAACAAAAGCTTTCAATGCAAACAAGTACCAGAAAATTCTCTACTTTTTTTCAAGGTTGGGGGTAAAATCAACCTAATATTTCTTTTTCTATCTATATAGTTATGAGGTGCTACTAGTCTTCAGGTCTTCTGAGAAAAGATGCTTGGGTTTAATAATTTATGTCTTTTAGCAAAGTTTTTGCTAACTGTAATGCATACAATCATTCTTCCTCTAAATACAGTGATGAAGGCACCATTTCTCCAAGTCACTCAGGCTATTTGACCAACTATCAGCAACCAACAGACAACCAAGCAACATGGATTCCCCTGATGGGGGAAAAAAAAGGAAAAGAGCCAATGAGAAGGAACTTTCATTTCTATCAGTTTGATCTTTACTACAACACGCCTCTGTAGATTTCCTCTGTATAATTAAAATGTTCTCCCTTTAGGTTCAATTTATTTTCTGAGGCAAAGATCTTTATCACTCTAGCCATAAGAACTAGTGTGAACATATGTACATTATTTCCACTTTAAAATGTGGAAGAGGACTTCAAAAGCTTTTTATTTATTGCAGCTGCTGTACACTACATATTTGATAAAAACATCACAAGCAGTTTTTCCAACAAAGTACAGCTATTTAAGGACAAAGAAGAGAAAATAGATACTGTTCTTTTGGGTCCTCAAAGACTGTGGAGCCACCACAGTCCCCAGTTTTTTCTTATGCATATTGCCAACAGTGAGGATGAAATTTGTTTTTGCAGTGCACAAATGGCTTGGTAGCTGGAACTACCATATAAAGTACTGCCTTAGCTAGCAGAGCCAATGTTTTGACACAGATTATCCACATTCACAACCACAAATATATTAGAATAACAGCGCAAATATACAAAAATATCCTTTTTTTACCTCAGAAATAAACTGACTTCAAGTGATAATAGGTTGTATTAATTTGTGATTCCTCATAAAGTAATAAACAGCTGTGGGAAACCCGAACCAGCAATCTTTCTGAGCTCAGGTACAAGCATAAAAGCAAACAAACTGTAAATGATTTTGCTCCCCTTGTCTCAGAAGTGAAGTTCATTTCCCCCTTAACCAGTCTAGAAAGTAATCTATTTCAATGTATTTCCAATTTTTGAGACGTTGTATACTTCACCACTTACCAGAACGGCCTTCTGGAAGAAGAATGCAGTTTTAATGTGATCAGTGTGTAATGTAGTTATTATGAAACATAAATCTTACTAGTACTTGCAGGATACTGTCCGTCACCTTCTTCATGGACATCATCAGCCACCGTCGCGAAAGAGATGTCAGGTGATACAGATGTAAATTCATCATCTGTATGGTGATGGATAAATCATTACTATTTCATGAGCTCAGCTGCAATACAGTACTCACAAGTACTTCAACTATTCTACCCTACAAGCTTCATTCCTTCATTTTTTGGTCCAAGAGAGAAGAAAGATGCAGACCCCACATGAGCTTATCTCACTAACACAGTATATCACCCAAACAGATCATTTGAAGAAGGAATATTACAGTGATAATGAATATTTTGGCAATGATCTGTTTATGTGATAGAAGCTCTCATTGTACCTGTATGACATGAGGACAGGGATTCGAGAGCAATGAGTGAAGCTACTCACATTGCCTTCTGCTGAGATATATTCTGAGGTTTTAGCCCAAAAATTTAGACTATGCATGCAAGCAGAGATGGTAACAGTTGTAACAGCAACCAACAGAAACACACAGCACACACCTTGGGGAATGTGGGGAATGTTTCTGATCCTAGTTTCTTAGTAAGACAGTCTTAGGCTCTACCTTTCATGGTGCTAGCTACATGTCAAAACAAGTATAACATGCCATGAGTACACCACCAGTGAAAATTAATTTTATAATCCTGATGCTTTTGCTTTGTTTTTTTTTTTGTTGTTGTTAATTTCAGTATGTATTGAGGATAGTGATGCAAAACACTGGTATCCTTCACTGGTAATTTATTGGTGATTTGATAAAAAGCCTGTAGTCACACAGTAAGCTTTACTGTACTTAGACGATGACTTATATCTGTATCCCTAATGTTTAATGGGAGCGAGTCTTTCAGACCTCTGATAATTTCAGTCACACAAGCAACATTAAATAAAATAAGTAGAAAATAACATGGCATTTATATTTGGCAGGGCCCCATGAAATTAGTGTCAGCCTACTGTCCTTACCATAGTCTTTTCCAATATTTTCTTTTTCACCTCCTCCAGAAGAATGATCTGGCAGCTGTGAGACTGGAGTAGGACTTCCATAATACAAGGGGCTGGACCTGCTGATGGAGGCATCCATGGGGGTTGTCTCATGAGTTGATCCACTGCCTGCATTTTCATCATCCACCCCTGAGGTGGAGGACTCTCCACCGGTGTGACGTGTGCCGTCCGGGTTGAAACGGGAGCCGTCTGCGTTGTCAATGACTGCGGAAACGGAATGAAACGGAATTAATGCCAAGGAGCCACACACCTGTAATAAAGACTAATGCCTATGGATTAATACCAGTTCACCTGTTTTTGCCCTCCTATCTAACCTAGATAATAAATCACTAAAATATGTCTAATGCATAGATGCTAATTTATATATTTTTTGCATTTGTAGGGCCTGAGTTGCATCACTTATTTTTATCAAATGGTTCGATTTTAACATAATGTCTTGGCATTTGTAAAGTCAATCAGCATTTAGAGTTGGAAGAAATAATTTATTATGAGCCTTTTTTCAGCGTCCAGCAGCTTTTCTAACAACAGCTCACATCAGATGTATGAAGGTTGCAGTCTTAAGAAAATTCCTTTATGTCAAAGGGATGTTAGCAGCTCTGAGGTGCCAAAAATGTCAAATACCTATATAAAAATATTTGGTACCTTGTAATAAACCAAACTCCATAGGCTGTAGGGGAACACAAGTGACTAGTTGCTTTAATTTCTATTGAGCATCTCTTAACTTCTTTTTCTTATGTTTGGTTTGGCTTTTTTAATATTACTGATTGTTTATGTAAAAATAAGATAACCAGTTACTAAAAAATGAGCAAGTGCATGTCTTTCTAATCAGTACAGTACCTGTTTCATCCTGATTACTGAGTAAGGAAGTATCTATTTTCACAACTGGCTCACATGTTTTTTCCTCTGTTTCTGTGAAAAAAGGAAAATAAAAAGTATTAATTTGAAAAAAATTGATTAAAAAAATCACATGTATGCCTACATCAATAGCACATAATGACAAAACATCCACTTCAGATGAGGAGGACTGAAAGCAAATTTCCAAGCAAATGTTATTCATGATTACCACCTTCCCAGGTGGGGCACTTCGAGATTGTTATGTCAGCTAACAACGAGATTCTCCCTTTCCATAACCATTCCAGAACATGTCTGCAATCAATGCCAGTTAAAACAGCCTTATGACACAGTTTCAATGCAGTCAGACCCACTGTCATTGTGGCAGTGGCAACTTTAATCTTTTTTAGCTGGCAAGACTCTGGTGAGCACTGCTGGCTCCTGTGGGCTGAAGTGCCCCACTTGGAGCTGGTGCATGAGCTACCTCCTCATACTGCTGGTAAGGGAATAATACCTGGGAGGAGTTATAAAGATCTAGAGGGGATGGACAGCACCATTGTAGTCATCTGTGAGAGACAGACAATGGCAACTCACATGACACTACGCCAATGCTGAGATTTTGGATTATATCACTACCAAGAACAAAATTTTAAAAAAATCACTGCATTCAAATGATCAATGAACTTTTCCTACAGCTTTCTGTAAGAAATCTCTACTTCCACTATGAATATCACAATCTACTGAAATTCAAGATCCTTGAAATTAGTTTAGATTTTATTTTCAAACAGTGTGTTCAGCATCTGTCACAGACTATATCCACTTTCCTAATAATTTGCTATAATATCGCCAACTATTAGAAAGTCCAAAACCTTAGATGAAAACGGTCTGCTGCTGACACATGTTGCTGTCCAGCTGCCTCATGTCTCAATGGAGATTTGCCTGAGCAAATACTGAATGAATCTGCAAACAGGAGAGCAGCAGCTGTGTCCATGGGTCTGGGATAGCCATCGCAGGCCCTGGAGCTGCTGCAGGTGGCAGCCACTCCCAAAACACAAAAAACTGCTCTTGGCTGTAAAGCTCACGTCTGCATGAACAGAAGAGCTGATTGCCAGGGCTGACAACAGTAGTGTTGTCTGTCAGATTCAGTGCTGCAGTGGTTCACTTTACTAGGCCATTATAATGGACTGTTCTGAAGCTGCAAAGATTGTCCCAAGGCCAGTAAAGTGATTTAGCCCCAAACACACTGATAACAAAATGGTTGTTGCTAACATTACAGATACACTTCTAGAGGCTGACAAAATGTGTTTTTTCTCAGCTGAAAACCAGGCTATGGTTATTACATAAGCCCTCAACCCAGCACCTCAAATAGGAGATTACGTATATTATTTTTAGTTAATTTGTTTCTAAAATGCAGCATAAAATCATCTCCTTACCTGTTGCATTGTAACAGTATGCATCATACCGAGCAGTTGTGTTTGCTGGGAGTTTGTAAATGCCAGTGTTATTTGCTGCACAAAGATGATAGGGATTGATCCGGGGGATAACAACATGCCCCACCACGAAACCATACCTGTGAAGAACAGAGGCAAATAAACCATATTACATACTACAGCAGATAGTATGTAAACCTCAAACATTAAGAAGCTACAAAGAAGCCATTATTTTTTAAAAGTGCATGCATTTATTCATACTGTTTTCTTGCTTTTTTGCTGATTTTTCATTTGAGTGTTCCTTTCTCACATGCAGCTACCTCAGTCTCCCATCACTCAACATAATTTTGTGTTTAATTTCTAGAACTAAACCCATGTAAATTAAATATGCATCTTATTAGCTAGCTAGGGTGATCAGTTCCAGAGCAAGGGAGTGAAAGTGAGGGAGGCGAGTGCACTTTTTGTTCAGTGTGAGTTTGTATTACTTGACACTAAATTCCCATTCTTTAGGGATTCCTATTTTCATTGCTTTGACATAATACAGCGGAACATTTCACACAGAAATGTTGAGGGCTCAATTTACGGTACCTGAGCAGGTTTAAAGAATGATTGCAATACACACAATTTTCTGCAAAAACTGAAAGCCTAGTAAAATATTCAAATACAAGAATCATTCATCCACAAATTCTTACTGTATCTTTCAGTTGAACAGTGTGATTATTGCGCACAGAGCTCACATAATTCAGTGAAGACTGTGGTTACATAAGGTACAATGCATTATTACTGTTTTGCAATCCTGTAACATCTGATTGATTCCAATGTATTTAACTGGAGATAGGATAGAATGGTAACAAGAACTGGAGTTTGGTTTGGGTTTTGCTTTACTTCTTGAGAGGAATGATTTATCAGGGAGGAGTAAATGTCACAGCTTTGCAGTTTTTTATCTAGGAACATCATTTGAGTTTCATGTCTAATGTGCAGATACTTGCAATTCTGAAACTCTTGTAGGTGGAATTATAAATTACTCTACTCACACTCCCAACTAAACTTACAATGCTGACACTTTACAATTACTGACCTACTTGTGTTATGTTCTGTTGATTCATCTTATTCACTTACTGTTGGATGGTTACATGCAGCATATTTTCCCTGTCCTACTCACGTTTATTAAGAGTTAAAGCTTACTGACATGGACTACTTTTAGCACAGAATCAACAAATGAAAGTAATAGGGTGGGAGAGTTGGCCAGAAGGAAGGGAGGAAGAAATTCTATCTACACGTCTTACATGTCCAAATCTGTCCTCTGGTAAATTGTGAATTAGGGAATTGTAACATTAATTAAAAACTACAGCTTTCCCTGGCAAAAAAAAAAAAAAAAAAAAAAAAAAAAAAAAAAAAATCCTCCTTCTTCTTTCAATAATTAAAAGCCCTAGCTTTCCCAAACAAAAAAAAAAAAAAAAAAAAAAAATCCTTCTTCTTTCATTTGCCTTCATATTTTAGCTTTAGAAAATACTTTTCATAGTTTAGAATACTCATAATTGCTCACATAGAAATCTCTACCCCTATGCATTATTTAGGATTTGATCTCTAAATATTGTGTAGTGCTGGGCAATTAAGAATGCTGTGTCTGTTCATGTGCTAATGTCAGAAAAAGAACATGCCTACTGTGTTGTGAAGGACTCTCCCCTCAGAGGAAAGAACTGTTTCTAGTCTTTACGTGGTACAATTCTAAATTACATTTCCACTTCTGATGGAAGAATCCTCTAAGAATTCTCTGTTCACATATTCCACCACCACAGTACTTGTGAAATGAACATGTCAAAACAGGAAATAGTTGCAAGCAGTATTGATGTCAGTACTATTTCTCATAGTACCAGAGTGAAAGTCTTAACATTTTGGAGAAATGTCCACTGAATTTTTCTGTGCCAGTTAGAAGATAAATTCCATTTCTCCATGTTTGCAGTTTAAGTTAGACTGCAATGATGTTGAAAATCTGCTGACATTTATTTAACTCCATAATGGTGTGCCACCATGAATCTCCTGGACTGCCGTGATCGTGCAGTGGTGGAGTTTGAAATCCTGAGAGAAATGGGCGAGGGGAAGAGTGAAGTCAAAACCCTGAAATTTAGGGAAGTAAACTTCCAGCACTTCAAGAAGGTAGTCAATAGGCCCTCCTGGGAAACTGTCCTCAGGGACAAGAACAGAGACAGCAGAGAAGGTCTTCAAGGATTCCTTCCATAGAGCGCAAGAGCTCTTGACAGTTTAAGAAATCAGGAAACCAAGCCAAGAGACCAGCACAGCTGTTTTAGAGCTAAAGCACAGGAAGGAAATGCACAGGCAGTGGAAGCAGTGTACCAACACCAGCTGGGGCACAAACTCACTGAGAGCAGCCTGCCCAGAAAAACCTGGGGTACTGCTGGATGAGAGGCTGGACACGAGCCAGCAGTGCTTGCCTGCAGCCCAGAAAGCCAAAATCATCCTGGGCTGTGTCCCAAGCAGCGTGGCAGCAGGTCAGGGGAGGAGATTCCCCCTCTCTGCTCCGTTTTGCTGAGACCCCACCCAAAGTGCTGTGTCCAGCTCTGGGGTCCCCATGACAAGAAGGGCATGGACCTATTGGAGTCCAGAGGGTCATGAAGTTGATCAGAGGGATGAGGCACCTCTGCTATGCGGAAACACTGAGAAAATTGGGATTGTTCAGCCTCAGATATTTTTATTCACTCAATTTTTTTTGAATGAAACACTGAGAAAAATTGGGATTGTTCAGCCTCAGATATTTTTATTCACTTGATTTTTTTGAATTAAGTTTTCTGTAGCTTCTAGTCTCTTGGTCTAGTTATTTTTTGAGAAACTGGGGGAGTCTGTATCATCCACATTTGTTGCTCTATACATCCTTAATTACAGCAGGTAATTAGGTCACTTGACAACATGGTTTTGGGATTTTTAGTAACTACTGTAGCTGTCACCTGGAACACCTCCATTCACAGATTTCAAGAATGCACTAGTACTGTGGCCATTTTTGCCCTGGGATGTCAAGAGTTGACCCCCACAGTACCACCTGCTGCTTCTTACTATTCCTTGGCAAGACTGAGTTCCATACACTGCATACACCATCCTCAGCCTTTAACCTCACACTGGGTCCTTACTTTCCACATACTTACCTCACCAATTGTTCAGTGACACACTAGGATCTGAACATCTTCCTACCTAGTTTATTATACTGTCAATCTTTTGCTCCCTTTATATTTTATCTGTGTGAGGTTATGATTTAAAAAAAATGTCAAAAACTAAATGCATCAAGGACTTACTTATTACTGGACTCAGAGCAAGCATACACATTCACCAAGATTTTTTTCATTATAGAATATAACTTATTTAGCTAATCATAGCATCTACAGTAAGTCAAACGTAATTACCGCACTACAGGTGTCATGATATACTATCTTTCATCTATACTACATATCTCACCATACTATACTTCTCAAGAGTTTCTTTACCTGCAAGTCTCAAATCCAAGCTCATGAGCTTTCTTCAGCTGCTCTAGTGTTGCCAAGGTGCTGTTGAGAGCTCTGCAGAGTTCAACTGCTTCAGATCGTGTGAGGCTGTAGCGACCATTTTTTTCAACATGAAAAACTCCTCCATATCTGCAACTTACATTGAATTCTGTTATCAAAAGAAAAGAAAAAATGATTAAAAATGTATACCTAATGCTTCACTGAAACCTGGTAATCAGTTGTTTTCAAGTATAATGCTTTCAAAGCAAACCCACAACAACAACCCACTTACTAATTGATTCAGAAAAAGCACTGCTACTTTCAATCACCTTTTTAATACTCTCCCTATTTGGGATGAGGTATGAGCCAAATCTCCAGCCTCCCCAAAAATAGCAATACAGCATGTTTTTGTAGGGTATCTAGGACATTTAACATATCATTAACACTAATGTGCAGAACAAAGGGTTAATAATAATAATATCAATACAAATAATAATAATCATGTGCATAGAGAGAAATGGGGAAACAACAGGACACTTCAAAGCAATGTGAATTAATTTTGCTTTTGCCCCACCCTTCCCTCAAGAGAAAAAAAGCAGTTGCCACTCCAGACTAGAATGACAACTGCAAAATACACTTCATAGGAGTAGCTATTATTTCCAGTGCAAAGAGGAGCATGACTCATTTTTATCTTAATTTTAATGGAAGTTCCATGTGCAAGAAAGGGAAAAACAGAGCAGTCTTCTCCAATATTAAAAGGGCGTATCCTTACTGTCTGTTTGAAAAAAGATGATGTATAGAAAGTGTTTTTCTAAAAGGCATGAAGTGCAATTTATGCACATTTACATTGACACGTTGTAAATAATAAGCAATTTTCCAAATGTGATTTTTGCTTGACAGTCTATTTTGTTCTATAGTATAAATGTGAAAGCAAATTATAGTAATCAAGGCATGCACTCTTTCTTTAATTACTTTTGTCCATTTATAAATTTATGTTATTCTTTGTACAGGGTATCTACTCAGTGTAAACCTCAAGGAACTTTCCTTTCCATAGCTCACAGAAAACTCTCAAGGAGATAAAATACCAGATTAGATGCAGGCTGGGTGATGCATGAGAGGACAACCACTATTCACAGCATAGAGAGGAGTCCAATAGTATTGATGCTTGCTTGTCCAAAGGAGCTCAAAAGCTCTGCAACCCATCTTGAATGCTTGCACCATATGCAACAGAATTAACCATTTTTGTTACTTGGATAGTCTTTCACAAAAAGAACAGAAAAAAATCTCTTCTCCAACATTTCCACCTTCCCCAGTATATTGGCTGACAAAAAAAAATTTAATTTAGACAAAATCAATTAGTATTTCAGAGCTGTTTAACAGTCTTGCTGATTACAGTTCTTCGTATTTTTAATATTTTATTGTCATATGTCATTAAAAACTTCTGCCACTCTTTGACTACTGCGAGGTTGGAGCTGCTCTCACATCTGCCATGCAGGTGACTTCTACTTTGGCTCCAAATATTTCATATTCAAAGCCTGATATTATCTTGCAAGTTGTTCAGGCAGTAGCTGTATTAAGCATAAATGACCTAGACATGAAAAATATTTCTCTTTATTTTTCCCTTGATTCTCTCTTCCTAAAACGTACTCTGTGAGGCCCAAGACTTAATGTTAAAGATGGGGATAAGATCACAAAGTTGTACTTGATTACTTTAAAGTAACAAGCTCAGTGATTTTGGGGATAAATTTTCTTGCAGCGTCAACATATTTTCTCATAATTTTAGGCTAATTTCTAAAAAGGTTTTGCTGTGAAAGTAGATACCACATACACTTGCTTTGGGTTCCATTTGATTGCAGTTAATCCTAGATTCACTGAATTATAAAGTGAAGTTCACTTTTGTTTAGAGCGAGCTGATTTAGCTATCATCAAACCTCAGCCCATTCCTGGTTTTGAACACTACAATTTATGCTCTATTACTACTCTGATATTCACTCATAGTCAGAATTCTGCTTAGTGAGTCAATTACTTAGACTTCTGCTGTTTAAAAAGTAGGCTTACCTACACAGACAGGCTCAATGGAACTACACATGGGCTACATGCCTACACATGTCCATTTTCCATGGAAATGCTCAGCCTGAGTAGCCCCTGCTCACCAGGATGCTGCTGGGAGGTACCAGGCTGAGTGCACGTGTGCTGCCCAGCTGCATGCACGCACGCACAGGAGCAAAGCCAAAGCTCCCAGGAAGCCCTGCTTGCGCAGCGTGAGCGATCACGTGGGTGTCCAGGAAACCCCAGGCAAAAATGTGGCAATCCAGTTCTCAAAAATGGCTTTGAGGCCATCCAATTTGCTGGCACTGTGCCCTAAAGTTATGCTGAGACAGCATCTTTGTCTTCACTTTGATGACATCTTCTACGCCTACTATTCCAAAAGTACCACTGCTGTAGCAGAGACACTCTGTTCATGAAGAGCTGAGTATAGAAAAAGGACCAAAGCAGTACCCAAAACTCACATGGAATTTCACAGTCTAAGCAAATTGCATAAATTCAGCATCTAGTCTTTGAAGGCAGTAATTACCACATTTTAAAAATTACAAAATACAAGCCCAGAGCTATCAGGGAACGCAGCATTTTTACTGTACAGTCTCAGACTTTAATGTTCGCACAATGGGGGGCCTTAACTGAATTAACAAAATAAATTCTGATCCCACCAATAAATACCATATCAAAAACAAATGATGGGATCTCAACTAAATTAATATCTTAATTTTTTTTCCCATGATGAGGCTTATAGAGTAATTTTGAATTAAGGAAGAAACATGACTGTAAATTTAAATAAAAACACACATTTCACCTTTTCCTGCAGGGCAGGAAGGTCAAATCCATTAATTTTATATTGATGTTACTTAGCTGGCTGTAACACACTTATGCAAAAGATGGATTTTTATTGTGTTCCAAGAGCCAAGGCAATGTAAAACTCACTCTGCGTGACATTTTTGAAGCTTCAAAGGGGCTGACTCAGAGTGGACTCACAGTGAAATCACCAACACCACGCAAACTTTCCCCCCTCCTTCCCCCTCCTAGAGCTGTCTGGCTTTGGGGCCTGACAGGACACAATCCTTCCTTTCTTCCTTCACTCACATGATTTGCTAGAGCTGTTTAATAATAGCCCTTGAAGAAGGCAAGTGGTACGAAACAGTCTGAATTGTCATAATCATTAATCTCACCCAGACTGTGAGATTGGGTGACACAACCAAAGCCATGGAGTGCTCCTGTCTGTGCTGAGCTTTATGAGCATGGAAAGCATATACTTCCACATTTCTCCCTGTCTTTGCTGGGATTTCTGGTGCCCTTTTTCAAGCAGCTGCATGCAAACCTTTCTCTGCTATCCTCGTTCACATATCTAAACCAGGTTCAATTAATACTTGTCAGCCAAAAACACTAACTTTGGTTCTCCAGACAATTTGCTAGCTAGAGCCCACTGGTGGGGTAGAATCGCCTCACACAGACTAAAGAGCATTGTCCTGTCAGAGAAGTGTGAGTTACACCCTGATAATTAATAGGAGAGGCTTGTTAGAAACTGTCACTGTAAGAAACCAGGTGCAATTTCCATTTCCACCCTGATTCTGCAACCCTTATGTATAATGAGTAACACTGACTCATGCTAACTCTTCCCACTGGAATTAATTTTCCATTAAGATTTTTTGGTATACTGTATGGATGTCTCATGCACTACTCCCCAATTTTCACTGTTTTCAAGACACCACCTGGGGGTTTCATTCTCAAGGTGGACACTGTCTTCTATTCGAGGGGAAAAAAGAACCCAAAAAAGGCAGCAGATCTTTAGCAACTGCAGAGACACATCAAAGCAAACCAAGTGGAAGATCTGCGAACACCCTGCACACTTGAGCGAAAGCAAGTGTAAGACTTGTACGTGCTAACAGACTTCTTGGTAAAACCGCACGCCAAACTGCATGGCAACCAGGAAATGTTAGGGGGATGTTTTGGTGGGGATTTTCCTCTTCAGTTTGCGGTTCAAGATGACTGATAGCTCACCAGGATGTGCTAAACTGGGGCTGACAACAGGGACAGAACTAGAGGTTTGACTGCATATAGTTTTCATTCTCTTTGTTTTAATAGATATAAGATTTACACTTACTGTAAGAACTTGGTTCTATATTTATTAAACTGATCTCCAGTTCCAGGCAGATATACATGGGTAATTGTCTCCTTATACTCACAGATTATTGAATTTTGTACTGACACTTCTGAACAGGAACAACCACCAGCTTAGCACTGATACCTACATTATGAATATCACCACCTGCTTTAAATGTGTGCTAGTAACAAAGTAGCAAAAAGTAACATACCAGAAACAGATTAAAATATATTTAAAAGAAAATCCTAGTCATTACTATTCCTCTTCAGGCAAATCTATGAATTGGGCCATATGAGTCCTAAAATCTGAGGAGATCGAGACAATCCAGATCCTGTCTCTCAGTTCAGATCTATCTCTAGTTATACCTCGTTTTCTAATTGTTTTTCAAGAAAACTACTTCATGGCTAAATAAGAATGCATATTTTATTTCTGACTCGAGGAAATGGCCTCTGAATACAAAATTTCATATGGGATGGATTCATAAAACATTTCAGGATCCAAAATATTTTGTCAATGTATATATTACGTAAGTCTGATTACTGCCATTCTGACATCTGTGAAAACTTAAAATGTACAAAAAATATTATTCGGTGATTATTCAGACCTAATATACTAAAACACACATGGGCCTGGAAAAGTCAATGTATATATTACGTAAGTCTGATTACTGCCATTCTGACATCTGTGAGAACTTAAAATGTACAAAAAATATTATTCAGTGATTACCTAATACACTAAAACACACATGGGCCTGGAAAGCATTATTTGCTGAGTATTCTACCTTTTTTTTCGTCTATTAGTAAAAAACTTCACTCAAGCAACTTGCAGCTCAGGCAACTGTAACAGGATACAGAGGCTTTTACCTTTATGTCAGAAGTTGGCCTAAAGCCCAAGTCAGTGATGAAAACCACTGGATAGCTGTTTGCTAGGTTATGTAAAATGATTCATTAATCCCAGCCACAGCCACTAATAGACACGTGTCGACATCATTAAAACACACCTATACTTGAATC